GTCCCATCATCCCAGCTTCCCATGCCATTTGACTTCAAACAGAAATTAAGCTCTTGCACTTATTTTTATTCTTCTAAAAAATGTTTCAAGTAACTCTGAAAGGTATAAGGCTACTATACAAATTATAAACCAGAGTATTGTAAGAGTGAATTGAATTGAGATGCATCCACAATTTTCAATAATACAGCCAAACAATATGAATGGCTGGCACAAGTGCAAGGTTTGGTTGAAGGCTCTGTATTCTCAAGAAAACTCATGGCATACTGTTGTAAATAATGTTGTTCTGATCCTCTGTGCCAAATATCCAAGGGCAACCTTCAATACCAAATCCATAGTAACCTCAATGGAATTGGCCATAGTAGGGAGGACATTACATGGCTTCATGCACAAATGGCTGGCACAAGTGCAGAGCATTGGTTAGAGGCTCTGTGTATTCTGATGTTCTATGCCAAATATCTAAGAGCAACCTTCATTACCAAATCTATAGTAACCTCAATGAAGTTGGCCATGTAGGGAGGACATCACATGACTTCATGCACAAATGGCTGGCACAAGTGCAGGAGATTGGTTAGAGGCTCTATATTCTGAAGAAATTTTCAGAGGACACTATTGTAAATTCTGATGCTCTATGCCAAATATCTAAGAGCTAGCTTTAATACTGAACCAGAAGTAACTTTGTTGTATGGGATAGGATGTATCAATGGCAAGAAGTTATTCTGTTCTGCTGAATATAATGCAACTTCTTTTTGGGAGGGTAGGACACCTGCCAGCTCTCAGATAAAATTTATTCAAAGATGAAAACTGTATAAAGCAAAAAAGAATTCATTTAGTAGTGTGACATAGAAGTTTGTGACATTTTATGCTCTTGGCTCCAAAAAGATTTATTCAGCGTAAAAAATTATATCCAGTGGTGAAAACATAGAATATATTTAATTCAGAGTCTTGGCACTTGAAAGATTTATTTAGTGCAAAAAAATAGATTCAGTATTGTGACAGGTAATTGTGTGACACTTCAACTTAGAAATACAAAAGAGATACAGTAGATTTATTCAGTACAGTAAATAGATACAGTACTACTATTAGTCATGTAATATATACTGAAATTACATGACTAATAGTCAGTAGTCAGTGGGTGACTGAAGTGCTCGACCTTCCCACGTGGTCTTCCTATCGTCCTTTGAACAACTATGAAACAGATGCTGTTGCATGGAATTTTACCTGTGGGACCCACAGAATTCCGCTCAACGGACCCTTCCCAACCCAGGACCGTGAATGAGGTATTGCTGGTCTCAAGCATGTTCTCACTTTTCTCCACATTGACTGTGACGGTTTCAACACAAGATATGGCACTAAAGTTGGACGAAAATTGTGGGCCTTCTTGAGGCTGCAAGATTCAAAGAAACTCTCTTCAATTGACTTCTACATGGATGAAGATGGGTTTTCTCTCTCTGGGAAGCCAAATATTACCAAGTATGACTTTGAGGCTGTTGTTCTTCAGCCTGGTGATGAACTGTGAGTGTTGTGTTGATACTCATGGCATAATCTTATGATTTTGCAGGCATATGCTGCCCAATTCTGCACATTGGGTGTATGGCATAGATGATGTGATTGCACAAGGCGGTCATTATTATTCATCGTATCTTATGCAGGAGACTCTGCAAGGTGTTGTACACGCCTTTGTTCTCAACAAGTTTTTGACAAATACAGAGCATATCCCCTCTCATCACCTATTGCGGAGGATCCTGATCTTCTATCAAGTTGGCCTCATTGAGGGTGGCATCTCTGAAGACGGTGAGATTCTCCCTTCATTGTTTATATCTTTGACTCATTTTTACTTGCAGATCCTGCATTGGTTCATCTACCTAATGTTGAGACAATGGAGGGTGTGCTCAATATCATCAGTCTTGCAGTCCTAATCATTCTTGGCAATGTTCTAGATTTTAGGACTTACAGCACTCCGAATCAAGGGGAAAATGATGAAGCCTCTCCTACCCAAAAAACATTGATGGACACCGGTGACATTAATGCCATTCCCAACAATGAACGGATTGCATATTCCTATGCTTGTGGCGTTGCTTTACACATCCTCAAGTGGCTCCGCTCAAGTGGCTCCGTTCATGCGTGACTTTCACAGGTCCACCGGATGGCCTTGCTGATGATCTGATATCTCTATTTTTTATTCAGATTTTGACCAGTCTATCAGACTACAAACGCCTTGCTGAAGCAAAGTCTTATGGCAGAGCTCCCCATTGCACCTCCCATTTGCTCAGCAAACAGATTGCCAACATTCTTGAGGTAGATCCGATTCTGAAGGCTGCTTGGGCATATAAAGAACGTGTTCCTTCGCACTCTCTTGCTCTTGAGGAGAAGGAGAAGTACAATGTTGAATGGCGGCATGATTGGGAACACACATCATGGAGAGCTCCATCTGTTGGTGAGAAATGTATAGTTATTGTATTTTGCAAGTGCTTATCGATATTTAGATTTTGCTCTCGCAGGGCAGACTCTGTTTGATACAAAGTTCTTTCAAGCCACTAAGCTGCGGATTAACTCTGAGAATGCCAACATGATTGTTGACATGGTCAAACCTCTATGCAAGAAAGCAAAAGTGGAATGATGTTCTATACACTGTGATCTTTAGCTCTTGTTATATGCACCTTGTACAATATTCTCACTATCATTATGAGTCCTTACGAGTTTACGAGTAAGACTCATTCTTTATCAACTGAGGACTTAGGCAAATTTTTCATTGATTCATTCATTCATTTACCTTTCATCACCGCGGGAACCTTTTCCCTTAAACAGAAAAGCAGCTATAAAATCAGGAAAAATAGCAACAAAATCAGCAAAAAATATCTAAAAAATCAGAATATTGCTTAGTAAGTTGAGGAGGCTGTGTTCAGGGTTCAGGGTCCATATCCAAATATAGAAAGCTGTCTGAAAAAATGGAAACAGATAGGTAGAGAAGCGGCAAAAAGAAAAATAAGCATGATATTTACCATTGCCATGATCATGAAGGGGCCGTGTTCATGGTTCAGGGTCCATATCTAAAAATAGAACAAAGCCAGAAAGATTGTGTAAAATGATTATCAAATAAGCCAAAAAAGGGGAGAAAAATAGGAATGATATTTGCTGTTGTCATGATGTTGAAGGGGCTGAGGGGCTGTGTTCAGGGTCCATATCTAAATATAGACAGAGCAAAAAAAACAACTCAGAGACAATAGCTGGAAAGTGAGGAAAAAGTGAAGAAACTTGTAGACAGTAATTTCTTTATCATTCTCTAGCTATATTTGGGCAGATTCCCATATTTGGAAGTGTATCCTTGGACCCTGAATACAACCTCTGCAATAGTATAGCAACATTAAATATCAGAACTGTGATTATATCATCTAACTAGCCTTCTTTCTTATGCAGATATTGGTCAAAATACACAACTATTTTCAAAAAGTGTCCAATTTTTTCAGTATTTTGTGTTTTTCTCAATAAGGAATGATCTGTGTGACATTATTTATATATATTTGTAAAGCTAAGCAAAGTGGCTACAATTGTTGTTAATAAAGGTAAGTGAGAGGCTGTGTTTCTGGTACTGTGGGAAATTTGACCCAAAAAGGAAACTATTGACAGTTTTATAGAGCATGCTGTTATATTTCTCAATGTGGTCACAAAATGTGACTAGCTATCTTCTTTCCTGAGATATATGCAAAGACACCTATTTATTCATATTTTTTTATGTTTTTCTCAATAAGAAAATCATCTGGTCATATGATTTCAGTACATTTAGAAATGTATAAGAAGAGGCTATAATTCATGTACTGTGGGAAAAAGTTCCCAAATAAGGAATGTGGACATGCCCTAAACTTCCTGGGTACTTCAAAGCTTCTGGTAAACAATAGTAAACTTTCCTTTTTGAACTTGAACCACCATCATCTTGCTTTGCTGGCACCTTCTTCACTCCATTCTGAGTCAACCACTCATGCTACTGCTACAATTCTTTTTGCTATGGCTTCTAGGCCTTCTCTGCTACACTTCTATGCCCTCTGTGTTCTCTTCCAAGACCTGGAACATGCTCAGATCTGGAAATACTGGTCTTAGCTCTGAACTTGGTCATTTTTGGCCATGTAAGCCTATTTCTATATTTCTGTAGGTACTCTGCTAATCTTTCTACATTCTAGATCAACAGACTACCTGTTCTCTGGCTATTCTGAGCCCAGAAGGTATGTAACTTGCCCTTTTTAGTGCATATTCTCAAATTCACTATATTTAACCCAGAAAACACATCATTGGCTTTCTGCCAGTTAAATCCTATGAATTTCTATGCCCCCTCTTCCTTAAACTATGGTAAGACCTTAGCTTGATCATATGCAACTTAAGACTGAGCAATCTTTTAGATCTTTTGCACTGGGATCAAGGAAGTTTTGGCAACTACCTTGATTCCAGTGAGGT